GCTCTTCTCTTTCTGTGGTTGCTTTGTGATGAGGTTTTGGGGTCTTTTTTAGGTTGTTTCATGAAGTCAGGGTCCAATGTGAATTCCCCAGTGAAAAGGCAGCACTTGAGGGGAGAGGTTGGGTCATCACCCTGTCCTCCTACCTGATTTTCTGCTTGAAAATTAAAATGCATTTCACAGCTGCTCTTTCCTGAGCCGCCCAGACCTGCTGACCCACCTCCAACCGTTCCTTTCCTCCCGTTTTCCAGGGAAATCCTTGAGCCAAGCCACCCCCCCCAGCATGCCCATCATCTCCCAGTCGGAAACCAAGAACCCCCGCATCAACCAGCTCTCGGCGCGCTGGCAGCAGGTCTGGCTGCTGGCGCTGGAGCGGCAGCGCAAGCTGAACGATGCCCTGGACCGGCTGGAGGAGGTAACGGCCACAGCAGGCACCGACACCGGGGGTATTTTACCAGAGAGGTGCAAGAAATGCTTTAAATCAGTGTCACCTCTTAAATTGCCCAGCTCTTGCAGGCGTTTACTGCTGCCATTCTGAAAAGACCCAAAAAAATACTCCTAAAATAATTAATTCAGGTTGAAAGCTACCTTCTGTAATTAACTGCACGTTAATGAACTGCTCTGTGCCCCTGCAGTCAGTGTCTGTAGAGGGAATGGCAGCCAGGCCTGCTTTACTCCTAGTCGTTAGTTTAACAATTACTGTCTCTATCTTTTCCAAACATCTAATGTCCTTTTTGTTTTTATTTATGCTTAACAAAGCAGCTATGCCCAGAAGTGAGTGTTTTTGTTTTTTGTTGCTTTTGCTGTAGGTCAGTTCAGTTTCTATGTATTCATGTTTTTACTTCGTTGCTTTTACCTCCAATAACGTTTAAGGGAAAAAAGAAACAAACCCAAAAGCGCTAAAAATTGCTGCTTTACCTTGCTGTGAGCTGCTTTAGCTGGCGGGGTCATGGGGATCCTTTCTGGGGGGGGATAAAATGTTTAAATTGGAGGGTGAGTGGCTCGTTGGTGGCTCATCAGAGGCTGAACGCCAGGGTTTGCAGAGCTGAGATGTGCCCCGACCGCTGTCCTACCTAAAAAAGAAGCCAGAAATCCCCTCTCGGCTGCGTGGACGGACAGGGAGAGGGAAGATGCGTGCCCAAAATTACACCAGCAAGGGGTATTCCTCCCCAGCAAAGCTTTTAGGCAGATTCCCGGGTGAAGATGTGTGTGTCTGTGTGCCAGTAGCCGGTTTCTCTGCCTGTGTGTACGTGCGCCAGCGCGGGAGACGCCGCATCCCGTGGCTCTGTGATGCGCGGTCCGTGTGGCGGCTGTCGCCTGTGTCCTGTTCTGGAAAGTCCATTTGAGCGACCTCCTCCTTAACGGGGCTTCATGGATTAACCCAGAGAAACCTTCCCGGGAGGGCAGGGCGGTGGGAGCTCACCTGGAGGTCGAGGTTTTAGGGTGCTGCTCCATCAAGGATTTCCCCCGTTGACTTCTCATGGGTTTCCTTCCAGTTGAAGGAGTTTGCAAACTTCGACTTCGACGTCTGGCGGAAGAAGTATATGCGCTGGATGAACCACAAGAAATCCCGCGTCATGGACTTCTTCCGGCGCATCGACAAGGACCAGGACGGGAAAATCACCCGGCAGGAGTTCATCGATGGCATCTTGGCCTCTAGTAAGTCCCTGCCTAAAACAAGCCCAAAAAAATGACCACCTCAGTGTGACCAGAGCTTGTCCCTCGCTCATGAACCATGCTCCAACATCCCTGGCTCCAATATCACTGCATCCAGTGCTCATTTCTCTCTCCTTCCAGAATTCCCCACCACAAAGCTGGAGATGACGGCGGTGGCTGACATCTTTGACCGTGATGGGGACGGCTACATCGATTACTATGAGTTTGTGGCTGCTCTCCATCCCAACAAGGACGCCTACCGCCCCACCACCGATGCCGACAAGATCGAAGATGAGGTAAAGCACCCGAAGAGGAGGTTTTGGGGTGGTTCAGGCTGCGGGTTGGCACTGGGGAAGACAAAAAGGAGAAATAAGAAGGATTTGGGGGACGTTGAGCTAAAATAATTGGCTGGTACCACCAGTACCTGCAGTGGTTTTGAAGAAAAGGCTCCATCGGGGGGTGTGTTCTTCAAGCAGTGCGTTGTATTGGAGGGAAACTCCCAAAATCCTGGTCTCTGACCTCTCCTATGGTGTTGCAGGTCACCAGGCAAGTGGCCCAGTGCAAATGTGCCAAGAGGTTCCAAGTGGAGCAGATCGGCGAGAACAAATACCGGGTAAGGCCAAACGCCGCCCCGGCGCCACCAACCCCGCTCCCCTTCCCACCCGGGGTGGGGGCGATCACCCATGGGTGCCCATGGTGTGGGGGACCCCCCTGGGGGGAGCTCTTGGCTCCCAGTGGAGGTGACTGGGCCGTGTTTGCCCAGCGCCGGCCTCGGCCCCGGGGCGTTCCCCGAATCGGGAGAGCATAAAAGTGGCCCTGTTCTGAGGCCGGCCCCGTCAAACGCCGCATTCACTGCGCCCGCGGCCGCCCTTGAAGTTTTCCTCGCGGATGAGTGTACCCTTACGGCTGTGTTTTCCTTAGCTGGCTCCCGAAAAAAGGGAGAATAATTTCCTTAAAAGAATCTCTTTGTAACGCGCTCCCTGTTTACGTTTCGAACCCTTCGCCGGGGCGAACCCGGCACAGCTGCCGCTTTCCCGCCCCCGCTGCTTTTTGGGGCTGATGCTTCGGTCGGGAGGAGCCGAATTGCCCCCAGCTCCAGGCTCCCCAAACTTCTGCCTTACACCCAAATAGCAGAACCCCCCTCGAATTTCTAACTACCTGCAGTTAACAGTTGTCGTGATGATTGCACCGTTAATCCCATCGATGTTTTTCTTGTTTTTCTTTCCCCTCCTCTTCCTCTCAACTTTCCTTCTCCCCCCCCCCAAATCCCCTCCACACCTCCTCTCCCTCCGTAGTTCTTCCTCGGCAACCAGGTACAGTTTGCCTTGCGATGGTGCTGTCTCTCACCTCCTATTTTGATTTAACAACCGTAGCTTTGTGTGTCTGTGGTGCTGCTCTGTCCTTCGGTGCTGTGGGAGGATGTGATCTGGGAGCAGAGCCTGGTACGGAGCCGTGCTTGAGCTTGAGGGGGCCACCCGGAAAAATAAAGAAGACCAAAAATGGGGCAGGAAATTCAATGGAAAAAGCAGAATTTAACAGAAATTGAGAGATTTTTCTCTCTGTGGCTCCTTTCTTGGGTACATTGGGGGTGTTGATGGTAACCAGTGGCAAACCACAGCACCCTGTGGTGGAGCACTGGGATACTGGTGGGCTCATGCCCCAGACTGTGTTTTGGGGTGAAATCCTGGGGTACAACTGCTTGTGCCAGGGCTGTACCAGGCTCTGGAGGGTTCGGATCGCAATCACCATGGAATGAGAACGTGGAGTCCATCCCTTTAATCCCGTAGGTACCAGTAACTAAACCCTCATCCATCCCTGCTACACCACTGAGTAACTCCTACACCTCTGAGTAACCCCTAACCGGAGCAAGGCTCCCCAAACCCGCATGTGTCCCCATTCCTGGTGTGACCCGGGATGAGCTGTGCCGTGTGTGTGAGTGCTGGCCGGTTTTGGGGACAGAGCTCTTTTTGGAATGGGATTGGAGCATCACATCTTCTTGTGATGCCCGCACTTGACCAGAAAAACCTATTTTTTCCATGCAAAATGATGGTACCCTACCAAAAACGTGCCCAAAAAAGAAACAAACTTGGATGTCCAAAGTGGACGGATCCAGGAGAGCCCTGGCTTTAATTTAGGGAGTGACTGCAGGAATATTTTCAACGGCGACTAAAAAATTGATGTCAATGCGGCAGCGGCAATGAGAATTAACGTGGCCCTGGTTTTCCCTGGTGCAGAACTCGCCCGTATGTAGAGCCTGGAGGGAGGGAAGGCAGCTCCTGTGCCCTTCTCCTTCCTCCACCACACTGGGGTGAATGCATTTTGGGGATGAGGAGGAAAGAGACCCCTCCAGGGCCAGGGTGGGAGATGCTGCTGCCCCCTACCCCCGTGCCCGCCATGACCCATGGATCGCAGTGTGGCTTCGTACTCCGTTTTCATTCAAATCTCTTCATTTTTCCATTCTTATCCACTCAGGGAAAACATCACTGCTTTTTTAAATCCTTTTTTTAAATCCTTTTGAAGATGCTTTTGCTTTCCAAGCCTGGTTCCCCTATTTCTCATCACACAGGGGCTCTGCAGACCGAGATGCGGAGCCGCTACATCCAAACCAAGCTCCCAATGTCCTGCACCGGCTCTGCCGAGCGATCTCCTAATCCAGGAGATTTAGGGAGCTTGGAAAACCAGGCCCATGCTTCCAGTTCAGGGGTGCGCTCGTTTGGTCCTCGCGGGTGTTTCAAATCACTACTGACCATTGCGATCACTAATCAGTCATCGCCGCGGGATTCCTGCCCGGATTCCCATCACCGCGCTCACCCAAACGTCCTCGCGGGGCGATGGCTGCGGCGGGGGCTTCCTGGCTTGGTGGGGGTCAAGTCTGAGGCCCGGTGAAATCCCTGGACTTCAGATTTGATAGGAAGAGGTTTTGGGCTCGGCGCTGCTTGCATTGCTGCTTCACCGGCTCTGTTCCGCGTGGGCTGCACCAGGAGGGTCGATTGCATCCCCAGCCTCTATTTCCTTTGTGGTAAAAGGAAAAACTACGATTCTGGCTGAGAAAACCCATCCAAAGAGCAAATTCCAAGTTATCATTTGCTGCGCTAAAAAATTCCCTCATTGCGGCTTTAAAACTAAAGGATTTTAATAGTTGTATCATCTCAAAACCACGCAGCAACAAAAAACCCTGTGTATTGGTACGAGCCTGTGCTTACTCCAGAAGAACCCAACTGGAGAAGCCTTGAAATATTCAATAGATCAATAAATTGGCCGTTTCCAGTAGCTTTGCCCGGTGCATCCTGGTGTAGGAAGGAGCCGAGTGTCCCCGGTTGTGTCCCCATCCCTGATCCCGTTCTTGTCTCCGCAGTTCGGTGACTCCCAGCAGCTGCGGCTGGTGCGGATCCTGCGCAGCACCGTCATGGTGCGCGTCGGAGGAGGATGGATGGCCCTGGATGAGTTCTTAGTGAAGAACGATCCTTGCAGAGGTGAGGTGGTACCTGGGGTTTATACGAAATTCGGTGAGGAGCTGCCCAGAGCAGAATCTCAACCCTTCAAAGCTGCTCTCATTATTTTTAAGCCACTTTAAAGATGATCTGCGTCACTCTTAACACACTGTGTTTAAAGACCATTGGGGTTGTTTTACTGAGGAATAAGAGAGCATCCAGTTTGGATTCATGGGGCTCGGGCAGCTTTCAATGGGACAATTTCTAGGGGCTGATGCGTGGTGGGAGGTGGTGAGGGCAGAGCCATGGAGCTGGGACCACATCGCTGCCACCCGCTCACCCTCGGGAGCTGGGATCTGGGGCCATCGCGAGGATGCTGACCCCGGGGATGGTGTTGGGTTCATCCAAACCTCAGCTCCCTGCTCCTTTATCCCCCCCAGCGCGAGGACGGACCAACCTGGAGCTGCGGGAGAAGTTCATTTTGCCGGAGGGGGCCTCGCAGGGGATGACGCCGTTCCGGTCGCGAGGCCGAAGGTCGAAACCATCGTCACGGGCGGCCTCCCCAACACGCTCCAGCTCCAGCGCCAGCCAGAGCAACCACAGCTGTGCTTCCATGCCCTCCTCTCCCGCAACGCCGGCCAGCGGAGCCAAGGTGGGATCACACGGGAAGCCCTCCTATTCCTCTTCCTCCTCTTCTTCCTCTTCCTCTTCTTCAGGAACCACAGCCCAGCCAGAGCAGCAGGAGGAGGAAAGTTGGGGATGGGGGCTTTGGTGGCTGTTGTCACCTCTAGAAGATGTTGGTGTCTGCAGGATTTGGTGGCTGTTGTCACCTCTAGATGATGTTGGTGTCTGCAGGAGGACCCCGCTGTCCACGTGGGATGGGTGGGTGGAAAGGTGCAGAACAGATCCCTGGTCCTGGTCCCCAGGCGCTGCAGCCGTGGTGTCCGTCCATCACCCATCATCTCTCCTCTCCCACCACATCCTCTGCCCATACACATTTAATTTCATCATCCGTTTGGGTTTTTTCCCTTTATTTCAATTGATGTATTTCCTGTTTGGTTCTCAGTTCATTTTACTGCCGTTTTTCCCCCCATTCCAGCTACTTTTCTGTTCCTTTTTTTCATTTTTTTTTCATTTCACTCACTCCCACCTCTTCCCCCCCCCTTCCTTGGATTTTCCATTTCACAGACTCCACACCACTTCTCCCGATGTTATGACAAACCCTGGTTGATAAACAGTAAAGCGGGCACCCCCCTGAGGGGATTCGATTATTCCGACCTCCAGCTCCCGAGCGCCGAGGTAGAGTATGGGCCCGGCAGCCGCCGAAGGCCCCAGTGCCCCCGGCATGGAGACGTCCTGCCTGTTCTAACGCTTTCTTTGTGATAGAGCAGCGCTTGTCAGCACCGCTAACGCGCCGACCGGTGGCGTTTTTCATGGCTTTCCAACTCGGCTTCAATAAAACATCAACTTTAGAGTCAAGCCCAGTGGCTTGCGATTCAAACCTGCTTTCAAACCAAGAGAGGTGCATTTCTCCTCTCGCGTTTAAAAAAATAGATACATTTCCCAAGCTTTAATGGCTTTTAAACATCGAAAAGCGGCCGTGTTTTGGTTGCCTTTCAAATATTGGAACCCAGCAGCCGAGTTGAGACCTGAAAAGCAGCTACAGCGCATGCACGGTAACCACATCGCCTTCATTCGGATGAAGCGCTTGTCTGTATCCATCACCGTCTTTAGCGCCTTGGTGTGGCCGGCACGGCTCGGTGCTGCCAGGAGGACGAATTCGGGCTGAAACTTGGATTTCCCAAAAGTTTCGGCCTCCTCGTGAACTCCCCTGTGAATCAGCGAGGAGAAATCCCGGGCAGATTTTGGTGATTCACGCGGCGGTGCCATGCGCGGGCAGGATCCCGGCGTCTGCTCGGCGCCGCTTTCACGTGGAAGATGAATTGTTTTAGTATTTTAAATCACCCGAAGGTCGAGAGCCCTTCCCTGATCACCCTAAATCGCCTGCTTGCTGCTGTTTTAACCTGTTTGTGAAATAGGATCACGGACCAGAATCAAAATCTCTGATGATGAAAGCGGTGCCTTCACAATCACCCGTTACTGGATCTTAATTCACCCGGTGCCCAGAAGGGAGCCCCATGCCCCTCTCCCCTGCTGCAGCTCCAGTTTCATCTCATTTCCACATTCCTATTTCCCCAAAAAATCACAAAATCACAGGAGATGGAGGGTGACCTCTCCAGCTGCTGCTTTAGAGCTCATTGGGAGTTGCTTTCTGGAATTAATGTACATTTATTGGGGGGATGCAGCAGGGCTGGAGCCATCCCTGCCCTGATGCTGCCCTGAACCCAGCACTTTGCTCATGCCTGGAAACTGGAGCTGCACCCAAGGTGGACGCCTTTACCCTGCCAGGACCCTCTGGGCACCTTTACCCTGCCAGGACCCTGTGGGTTCCTTTAAACTACCAGGACCCTGTGGGTTCCTTTACCCTGCCAGGACTCTGTGGGTTCCTTTAACCTACCAGGATCCTCTGGGCACCTTTACCCTGCCAGGACCCTGTGGGTTCCTTTAAACTACCAGGACCCTGTGGGTTCCTTTACCCTGCCAGGACCCTGTGGGTTCCTTTAACCTACCAGGACCCTGTGGGCGCCCTGTGCTGCCCAGCGCCTTCCCCTCTGCTTCCTCCCAACCCCGTCTGCGTTTGGGACATCTTAAAGGGTCGGGGACGGCACCGTTTCAGGATGCGGCCGAAGCCGATTTGCTCAGCACCTCCCGGCAGCAGGACGTGGATTTTGAGTCTCTGCCTTGTGTTTGAGCTTCCAAAACGGCCCTGGGCTGTGAAACGCCTGGTTTTGCCAAATTTCACCTTCTCTTTCTGGAGCTTTTGAACCCAGGCGATGCTGCCATCCTCCAGATGAAGAGCAGCTTTGCTTTTATATATATATTTTTTTCCCCAAACGCTTTGAAAGAGCCGTGTATCAGCCTGCAGCGCGCAAATGACCGTTGGCTTCCAAATTTTCAGGCCTTTTTCTTTTTTACCCCCCCACTGCCCGTGTCCTCCTTGACCCTTAAGATGGATTTTAATTCAATATCGGCCTCCTTGAGCCGAGGCGCTGATCTCGGATGTGATTTTGGCCCGTTATTGGTCCGGCTGATGCCTAAAAGCTGCTGTGCCTGTGCTTCCCCCCCCAAGGTGACCCCCTCGGCTGGCAGCAAGCTGAAGCGCCCGACCTTCCACTCCAGCCGGACCTCGCTGGCCGGGGACACCAGTAACAGCTCCTCGCCCGTCTCCGCAGGTGCCAAAACCAGCCGGGCCGGTGAGTTGGGTGACAGACGCCCAGTGCTGCTCTTCCTACCCCGTCACTTGAATTGGCAGGGAAAACAGTAAATATTTCGGGAGGCTGAAGGCCAATGCCCCCCACTGCCTTGGGAGGGGATGCTGTGATGGTTTCGCAGCGGTGAAGTGAGGGTTTGCTGCTGCTTCGTTCAGATCTCGGGAGTTCATCAGTGCTGGCGCTGAACCCCTCGTTTGGGGGGTGCTGGGAGGGTGCTTGGAAGCAGCCGCAGCAGCGCTGGGGATTTGGGTGCGGGGCAGTCTGGGGATGGGGAGAAATTGTCCTCTTCCTTCTCTTCCTCTTCCTTCTCTTTCTCTTTCTTTGTATCTTCTTCTTCCTCCTCCTCCTCTTCATCCTCCTCCTCTTCTTTGTTGTCATCCTTCTCTTCCTCTTCTTTCTCTTCCTCTTCTTTCTCTTCCTCTTCTTTCTCTTCCTCTTCTTCCTCTTCCTCTTCTTCCTCTTCCTCTTCTTTCTCTTCCTCTTCTTCCTCTTCCTCTTCCTTCTCTTCCTCTTTCTTCTCTTCCTCCTCCTCCTCTTCCTTTTCCATCTCTTTGTTCTCCTCCTCTTCTTCCTCTTCCTCCTCTTCCTTCTCTTCTTCTTCCTTCTCTTCCTCTTCCTCCTCTTTCTCTTCCTTCTCTTTCTTTTTCTCCTCTTCCTCCTCTTCCTCCTCTTCCTCTTCCATTTCCATCTCTTTGTTCTCCTGCCTTCCTCCTCCTCTTCCTTTCTCCTCCTCTTCCTTTCTCCTCCTCTTCCTTTCTCCTCCTCTTCCTTTCTCCTCCTCTTCCTCTTTCTCCTCCTCTTCCTCCTTCTCTTCCTCCTCTTCCTTCTCCATCTCTTTGTTCTCTTCCTCTGCTTCCTTTTCCTCCTCTTCCTTTTCCTCTTCCTCCTCTTCTACCGCTTCCACCTCTTCCTTCTCTTTGTTCTCCTCCTCCTCTTCACTGTCATCCTCCTCTTCCCCTTCCGCTTCCTCCTCCTTCCTCTTCCTCCTTTTCTTCTTCCTTCTCTTTCTCTTCCTCCTCCTCCTCTTCCTTTTCCATCTTTGTTCTCCTCCTCTTCCTTCTCTTCCATCTCTTCCTTCTCTTTCTCTTCCTCTTCCTCCTCTTCCTTCTCCATCTTTTTGTTCTCCTCCTCTGCTTTTTTCTTCCTCTTCCTTTTTTCTTCCACCTCTTCCTTCTCTTCCTCCTCCTCTTCCTTTTCCATCTCTTTGTTCTCCTCCTCTGCTTTTTTCTTCCTCTTCCTTTTTTCTTCCACCTCTTCCTTCTCTTCCTCCTCCTCTTCCTTTTCCATCTCTTTGTTCTCCTCCTCTGCTTTTTTCTTCCTCTTCCTTTTTTCTTCCACCTCTTCCTTCTCTTCCTCCTCCTCTTCCTTTTCCATCTCTTTGTTCTCCTCCTCTTCTTCCTCTTTCTCCTCTTCCTCTTCCTTCTCTTCCTCTTCCTCCTCTTCCTTTTTCATCTCTTTGTTCTCCTCCTCTGCTTCTTTTTCCTCCTCTTCCTTT